TTTTGGTCAAAGGTTAGCCGATCGGACCACTTCTTTGTTTAATTAGATGCGTGATCACATATTTAACACGTACGTGATCACGTTAAAGGCTTTTTTTGAGGAAGGAAGACCGTCGTCAGCATTGAAACATGCGTGGGGATTAGTTTGCCAGCGAGATTTTCTCCAGGAGTGCAGCCTGAGGTGAGGACAGTGAGGGAGAGACTTCGGATCTGCGGAGAATGTACCAGGGCGCTGACTAGGGAGGCCGGTGTGCTGGCAAAGAGGGACACGCGTCACGTGTTTACATCGTTACCCTGGCGTCAATCCTGCAGGGCTGGCACCGTCGTTTAAAAAGCGTAGAGGAAGAAAACGAGGCTCAGAGATTCGGTGACTGGTCCAAACGCAGACCCTTGTCAGAAACTCTACAGATCCAGGCCTTCTGCCTCCAGCCTGGGGCCCTTCTCTCGACACGGCTCCCAGGCTGACTGTCCCGGGAAGGAGGACGGCCACCAAAGCGGTAGAAAATGATGCCTGAGCAGAGTGCAGAGAGCAACGAGGCTCAACCTGGGGCAGTCAGCCCCGCCAGAGCCTCCTGAGACCATGCGCAGTGAGGGACAGACAGACACATCGGGACCAGCGGACACCAGGCCGGCGTCGGGCTCTGTGCCGTGGCTTTCATCGCGGTGGCTGCGACGTAGCCACCTCCCACGAGGCAGATCAACAGGAAGTAAAACATGCGTCACGACCTAACGAGGAGTGGAGCGGACACACAGCAGTGGGCGCCCCGGCCTCCGACTCGGCGGCTCGGCGGCGTGTCCCTAGGCAAGGAACGCGACTCCTCTGAGCCCCAGCGTCCTCTTCTCTAGAGTGACCGCTGCGCTTCCCCAGTTTACCGTGGGGTCTGTCAGAGGCGGCGGGTGAACCAGGCCCGGCACGGCGACATCCCCGACGGGAGAAATCCAGGGTCCACAGCACCTACCTAAACGGAATCGCGTGGGGGGCGCGCGGGAGCCTCACCTCTGGGTCTCTGTTCCACTGCACCACGGACTCCCAGCAGCAGTGAGCGTGCAGCACGTCCGGCTCCAGGCTGCAAGGGAACTGCCGATAGGCCGCATGCAGCAAGCCTGCGAGGCGGGAGACGGGCGTCATTCCAGCCCCCGCGACCGCGCGGCCGCCCGCTGCGCGCCTCTCCGCGGACGCGCTACCTGGCGTGGCTCCTGGGTCCGTCTCTGCCGCTGGCGCCTCCGACAAACCTCCGTGGAGACCGCTGTTGGGTTCGTCTGCGGTTTCTGCGTCTCCTTCTGTATTAGCCAGTTTTAGTACTTCAGGGCTGAGGTCCTGTTTAAACACCCACTTGGCTACACTGTCCGCGATGCCACCTATAGTTTGGAGACAAGAAACAATGAGAATTTGCAGCGTTGGCCGAAGGCAGCCGGAGCAGGACTGATCTGCATTTGCTGTGAAGAGACCTAAGTGCCGCCTTCAGTTTTAAGCCTGAAGGTGATTCCCCAACCCCGTGACACTCAGCGGTGTTCGTACCGACCACTCAATGTGTGAGGGCCAGTGGGGTGTCTGGTACCTAAGGAATCTTCACACTCTCGTAAAATATCGGACCCATGTAATGCAGATGCACATGGATATCTATACCACGTACCTGCTACGTCACAAATTCAATACGCTTTACCAGCCATAGACAAAGGGACCAATACGTCTTTAAAACACTTTCATATAAGTGAAAAGAGATTGATTAGCTTCTTAGGGCAACATATTACTTTTAATAGTCAACTAAGTTGCCTCTATGGAGTATTTATAGGCAAAATTCAGCCACGGTAAATCAACGGCATGATGCTATGCCGTGCTGCAGTCGTCAATATAATCTAAAAAATTATAAATGCAAATGTGAAAAAAACTCATTACAGAAAACAAATTTATACATTATAATTTATCAGACTTTTTCTCTCAGTCTCCTTCCTACTTTGAGTCAAACGTCAACCTTTCCACAGGGAGAATGCCTCGCAGTGAAGTCGCAGTCCGCAGCGAGAATGAGAGCAGCGCTGGGCGACCTAATTTCTCGAGCCTGGCGTCTGAATCATCTGATAACTCTCGTTCCAGAATCAAGCCCCTGATTATACTGCTCCAGTTAATTTTAAAATGGTGTCCTCACACTTTTTCCAGGTGGCAGTACGGAGTGAGTTTACAATTAAAAATTTTTGCAAGTCTTATAAAGAATGAGAAAATGAGTTAACTAAAAAAAATATCTATAAATACCCTGGGTATTTACAAACCGCCGCCTGCATTCTGCCCACTGTGCTCTGTGCAGTGGTTCGAGTGCACTAGGAAAATCCAGCCTTGAACAGACATGGGGCTGGACTAGGGGGGACCCCGAGGGCCTTGGACGGTGCTGTGTGAACCTTTGCTTATGCCACCAGTGTGGGGGCGGGGCGGCAACAGGGGGGCCCTGAGCAGGGAACTGACGGGGTCGGACTGGAGAAAACTGAGAAGTGTGTGGTGGGTTATTCATATGTTGTAAAAATCCGAGTGTATTTCTCATTCTTTCAGTCATTTCTACAAACAAAAGCCCAGACCATACAGACACAGACACAGAGACAGACAGAGACAGACAGAGACAGACACAGACACAGAGACACAGACACAGACGGAGACACAGACAGACACAGACGGAGACGGAGACGGAGACGGAGACGGAGACGCAGACACAAGACACAGACACAGACACAGACACAGACACAGACACAGACACAGACACAGACACAGACGCGAAGGCTCGCGCGGCCCTGCGCTTACCTTTCCCTCCTTCTAGGAGCCTTTTAACCGAGAGCCTGGGCACGGGCTCGGCCTGCGGCGACGACAGGCAGTAGGGCCGCACGTGCGCTCCGCTGTGAAGCAGCGTCTGCAGGACGACACAGTCCTCCAGCTGCTGCAGCAGGAGCTTCCAGTACTCCGTGTCCAGGGAAAGGGCCTCCCAGGAGTCGCTGAGGGCCTCCGAGTCAGCGCCCAAAACCACCTGGGAAGAGTGACAGAAAATGCACTGCCGCCACGCGTCGCCAGCCACGGGCACAGCCAGACCCCTGCACCCAGCTCGGTCCCTGTGCAGGTGGTGACGACCAAGTTCAGCGTGCATGTCGTCCGAATGGACTAGTGAGGGGCAGCACCCGTCGCCCCCTTCCCCACGCCCAAAAAGCCACGAGAACCTGCCAGACACATGCTCCAGACCGTCGGGTCCCCGAATGCCGACGACAGGGTGGCCACCGGCAGATGGGAACAGCGCCTCGGCGGGCGGGCTGGGCGCGGGCGGGCGCCGCGGCTCTGCCCTCACCTTCCGCTCTGCCACGGTGCTCGATGTCTGCATGGCGACGCAGTGGCCCACGAGTGCAGCCAGGAGAGCGGCCCCGTTGTTCTCGGCCTGGACGCAAGCCGTGCGCATCTGCTGCCACCACGGGGACACAGACTGGGAGTCCCAGGCGTCATCGATGGCCACTGTGGGCAAAGTTCAAAAAGAAACTTACTCTCTTGATTTTGGGGGGTCCAATCTTTCACATGAAACCTCGTGTTAAAACTGAATTCCCCGGGGAGGTACTTGTCTTTTTCTGCGATGCTGAGGACAGAAACGTGGCCGCTTACGCAGAGCTTGCTGTGCCAGGCACTGGCGCTAGGGCTTTAGGAGTACAGATCAACAGTTTAACTAGGAAATAAATCTACAATCTATTTCATTCAGAACATGTGTATCCATTTGCTTATGCCGTGTTAGTCACCTTGCTCCTGAATCTACGTTAAATCTCTGTCTGGAATTTGTCATCATTGCTGAAAACTACTATTGAGAATGTCGTAAAAGATTACTGTCCTGATCCGACCAAAATTAATAAGAAAAATATTAACTCCTGTCAAAGACCATCTGATTTACCTCGCTGAGTTAAGGAAACGCACGGTTCACACCACGTTATTTCTAATTACGCAAAAGTTTAATTTTCATAACGCATACTTCCCGTGCGGTAAGAGCTTTCTCTTAATACATAAAAATCTCTAGAGTGAAATACTTTGTGTACTGTAGTCTCCTTTCGTTCAGCCAAATGGCCCCACATACACACACCCCCCCGTTTCTGTGGCATTTCAAACACTAAGCTCTGCTCCCCGGGCAGGCTACCTTTCATCCTGCTCAGGACGGACAGCATGGTGTGAAGGCAGCGGACAGACTGCGGTTTGTCCAGAATATCCTTTTCCTTAGAAAGCCAAACGCTCAGGAGCAGGGACTGAAATCAAATGGAAACCTTTTTCAGTCTAAAACGGTATTGAACATAAACGAAACTCTCTTCGTACACGCGTGTGTGTGAGGTACTCGGTCCTCTGGGCTAAGTCGTTGGTGGTGCTACCACGTGACGTCAGGGGTGGAACCGGTACCTCGTCTACTTAAGAAATTCTTTGTCATCTGTCGGAAAGCTAAATCCCAGCATTCCCATCTCTGGTCTCAGCACCGCCTTCCAGTCGGAGCCGCTATTAAGAAGTAAATCCTCCTTTCACGTCATCGGTAGGTCCTGTGACTTGAAGCGAAGTGACACAGGACACAATCGGTTTTACCACGGGCCAATTTACATAAATAAGAGCTACATTCAGAAAGCACCTCAGCAACGCTGTAACGAAACGGTGTTGCAAAGGGTGCTATTCGAGGACCTGCGGTATCAGAAAGGACACCACTTGGAGGCTTCAGCGACAGGAGCAGAGCCGGGGACCTTGCCCTCGTCTTGGTTGGACAAGGCGCTGTGGACTTGGCAATGGGGAGCAAGAGGTGAAACTAACAAACTCCAAATGTAAATCACAAGTCATGAGAAACGGATTTTAAACAAAAACACTTGAATCAACGTAAGTGCTTTTAAGATGCCTATGAGCCAGCATATAGAATTAAATTTGAAACATGTTTAGATTTATAAAATTCATACGCAGATAATTTTGAGATAATGAAAAGCTGAACGGCACGGTGTCACATCTGTAAGTGCTGGTGTCCGTGAAAGGCTCTGACGTGTAATTCTGCAGTACCTTCGATGATACTAAAAACACTCTAAAATGATAGGCTGACCATCAGCTTCAATGTATTAGTGCAAATAATTGTCAAAAATTAAGAAGAGTGAGAAGTTGAAGGAAATTAACTTAGGAGAAGGTCCTCAAGGCCAGGAGCTCTGGCAAGCGCAGGGCTCGGCACACCGTCTCATTTAACCCTAACGACTGATCAGAGATGCTGACGTGGGTTTCAAAGATGACGAAAAGGAAAGATAACTTACCCAGCAGCATACGGTCAAGGAGTCAAAACTGAAGTCTGAACCTAGAGCTGCCTGACTCTAACACGCATGTTTGCTTTCCTCTTTAAAAATTTGTACCTGTGCATGTGTGTCCATGTGCGTGCAAATTTATATATGTACATAATTTTTACAAAGACAAATATACCCGCTCCCACTTTTTAAAGTGAAGTCTTCTATTTCTTCCCATTTTTAAAAACTTGTATACTTTCTTTGGTTAATCCTTCCACATTTTTGCCCATGTCAGCCTCCTTTCTACGTCAACCGATCCAGAAACCTGTTTATTTTTCTTACAGCCAAAGACGCCGTTCCGCATTTTCCCTCACAGCCATGAAACGATGGCGATGCTGAGGACAGAAACGCGGCCGCTTACGCAGAGCTTGCTGTGCCAGGCACTGGCGCTAGGGCTTTGTGAGTACAGATCAACAGTTTAACAAAGCAGGGACGGGGCGGGGGGTCCCTGCTTTAGGAGATGGGACCATGTCACGCCCTGTTCCAGCTGCACACCCCGCTGCGCCTGGGGCAGTCTGCCAACGCTGCCCGAGCACAGCCGCTCACCCAGGCGAGTCCCGCTCTTCAGACGTCGCCGTAAGTCTCACCCGACCCCGTGGCTCATCGTCTACGCTGGCTAGAAACGTCTGATTGCCTCGCAGGTAATAAAAACATCCCACAAGCAACCGGGAACAGTTGGTGCTCAGGGTGCACATGCGCTGCAAAGCACGTCCAAGGGCCACGTGCGGCCACAGACTCTCTTGCAGGTTCACTGTTAAGGTGCCAAGAGCCTCAGTCCGGTTAATTTCAGGCACCGGGTGAAGGACCGGGGCTTGTTTCCGTCAGAGCATGCCAGGTCTCCGGGGTCTTGCAAAGCCTGATTCCTGTCCCCGTCAGCAGGGCCTCCAAGGGCTCGAAAAGACTGGTCACCCAAAGGCTTATTTTAGATTAAATGATATTTAGACAAATTAAGTGCCACGCCTTGATCTCCACACTCTAAACTCTTCCCTTCCGTCCAACTCACTCGTCCCCAGCTGGCCGGCACCCTGAGCGAACGCTGAAATGAAGCGTAACGCTTGACTCTCCTCTCCTGAGTCTCTCAGTCCTTCTCTCGGTCGCCCAACCAGGCAATTAATCTTTGCTTAGAACCTGCAGTGTGTTTTTCTTATTTTATAAGTAAACTTTAAAAATTCCAATCGTTAAGCTTTTGTTTGTATGCAGGTCGGTGGAAATAGGGGTGCCACAGGAGCCACCAGAACACAATGACACAATTTGGGAATCATTTCTAGGCAATAGTAAGATTTTTTTTTTTAGTTTCAGGGAAAACTGAGGTGAAAGAAGAAAAATAATTAAAGACGAGAATACAGAGGTAAATTAAGCTGCCACACAGAAACATACAGACGGACAAACAACAGGGAAAGACAGTATACAGAAGTCTACTGTATACAGCAAGGATGAAATAAGATCTTTTCCAAACATCGCAGCGAAGAATGTCCCATTCACAGTGTGAATTTTCGTAGTAGAGATTCGCATACTATAAATGTGAATTATTTCACGTAAGTGTCACATATGGCCATATTACTACATGATATTTGAATAACAGACTCTTAATAACAGAGTTCCCCTCCCTTCCCATTCGTAACCGTGAGTTGTGTGAAGTGATGGGTACGTGTGTCCCCGTGGGGAAAGGCAGGAAGGGATGGGATGATTCTTTTATCTACATTTCTTCTGGAACGAAGGCAGGAAGGGACCTCACGAGGCTGGGGTGACTTCCCTTGCTGTCATTTTTCCATGGGATGATTCTTTTATCTACATTTCTTCTGGAACAGAGATTAACCCTAACATATATTCAAAGTTTGGGAATGTCTGATAATTCTGCTTTAAGTTAATTTTGCTCTCTAAGATCTTTTTTCATTCTAATGTGAACATTTTTACTCACGATCACAGTCCACTGTCAATGCATGCCTGTCAGAGTCTGAATTTATTTTAGGCGGACCATGGAACACCCTTGTTATAATTTACAGGGAGTGAGAAAGATAAAATAATATCGTTCATTCAACTCTGATAATTATAAATTTCTTTGATCATTTTTAAATGGTTTTCACGTCTGTCCCGTGATACGATTTAGACAATGGTTAAAATAAAAAGGGCGAACACTTCCAGATGACGTCAGCGAGGAAGAACGGCACCCAGCACAAGGCAGCCTTACCAGCAACAGCTGAGGGCTCAGTCCCGCTGACCCCAAAGTGCGACACACGTCCTCTGTGGAGCTTTCTCCATGCAAACATTTCCAAAAAAAGAAACTGCCTAGAGAAACAAAACGAAATGCATTAACCAACAACTACTTACCATTCCGGCTAACAAGCCCCCCAAGCTGCAATCCAGACCCCCAGACGGACAAAACGACGTGAGAGAAAAGAACGGTCCGATGCGCCTAATTTCCTGGAGAGGAGGCGAAGCACTGCACGCCCGAAAGTGTCTCCGCAGCACACTCGTGAGCACGACACGAGTTTTCTGACACAGTAGTAGCTACAGATCCACAGTGTCTTTTGTTGACGGGAAAATATAAATTCAAGTCTTTGGTTAATTTCACTTCGAAACAAACCGAATCTTCGAGATGCTGTAAGTGCCCCCCAGGCTTTTTCTAGAAGAGAAAGGGTTCCACGGCACCTCATTATTCTACCCACCTAGAGACACATACTCCTCTTCGCTTATCTTCCTTATGTTGATCGCATCTTTCTCATATTCCAAATATTCCAGGAATGTTTTTACAGGCAACACACCGTCCTTTTCATCAGAAAATCGGACAACAGCCCTCGTGTTCTCTTGTCTGTACTTCTCTAATAACGCCTGGAGCTTAAGCAGTTCTTTTTCATCGAGCCTTAGTAACGCAGCCAAGTCCTTAAAGATAGGGGGAAAAATGTTCTGAATAGACCGTATTTCTCTCTATGAAGCTGACATACGTGTCAACCCCATCATCTGAAATGAAGCGCAGGACAATAAGCAAATGACTTTTTAATTAACGTGGTAACTATACTGTACTCTATTATTGCGCGTAAAACTTGACTCGCATTCGTGCATAGGAGGTTATTTAAATAGACTAATCTAGAAATGCTACATATCACTAACGGTACCATTTTTAGAAAGTTTCTTGAGATTACTCAGTACTCTTCTAAAACGTTCCAATTTTAACAAACATGTTAGTCTGTAATCAGAAGAAAATTTAACTGGGTGTCAACTGCCATTCTTGTGATTCTGAGGAAACTCAAGAACTACTCAGTAAATAATTGAATCCTTATTTATTAAGCAGCGTCAGCACTATAAAATAAAAACACTGGAAAACAAGCCTCACTGTACCTACGTATAATCCTCCACGTGCCTCTCAGGGATGCAGAGCTGAAGAGTCGCCGATACAACCTACCGGCTTCTCAAACTATCTTTACACACCGTATGTGCAGGAACATCCTGATACTACTACTATTTTTCTAAATTAGGGACAAGGACACACACACACATATGACCATAAATTTGCCACAGCAAGCAAACCTTCCCCCGCATGCTACATGATTAAAGCCGCACTCTAAAACGAGACTGGTTTTATTTGTTTATTACCTAAGGCTGCTGTTTTTAAAACAAGTAGTAACGCAAAGTGCTACTGCACACCGCAGAAGTTCAATGCTACAGTGAATTTAAATGAGCCTATGTGAACCACGTCCCAGAGACAGCAAGGAAGAATTACTTCAGATCTGAACTCCTGTGTATACAAAATCAGCCACTTAGCCTCGAAGCCAACTGCATGTTTTTTTGAAGGATCTAAACAAGTCTACAGCGACGGTTTCAAGTCTCAAAAAGTGCTTTTAAAGTAAAATAGAGAACGAACTGCCAATTGATTTTTAAAATTTTGTAATCTTTAATTTTGCACACCAGATGAGAGCTATCAAGTGCAAGTGAATTCTATAGGGTATTATTAATGACATATATTTAACCTTCTTTGACGGGCTGAGAGAGAGTTTAGAACTTATGAAAAAATCGGGCATTGAAGAATCTATGAAATGTCTAGGCAATCCTGTCAACATAACTTAATTCAACTGAACCTTTTCGTTGCTTGAAACAATTTTATACTACGGCGAGGTAGGCAGAAAAACAAAAGATTCTGAAGAAATGGCTTTGTCATGTACAATGGCAATCACAGGTTATTATGAATAGATTATTATTAAAATAACTTACAAAGTCCATCTATGATCCCAAAGATAAAAAAGATGTTGGAATGTGTGGCTTGTTTTTATTACAGAGAGAAAATCTCTAATTTTTGTTTAAAAAAATTTTTACTCATGATACTATATGAATTTAAAATAAAAGGCTTCCACTAACTTTCAGATATACCAGATGATTTTCTTAAAACATTACCAGTGACGTGACAGATCACTAAATCACTTTAATGATAACCTTCCTTTAGGTGACTATCAGACATGCGTCCCTGACGCCAACAACCAGCCAGGGTGACACAGTAACCCGAGGAAAGAGAGGACATATTCCTCTTCATTCCCTCTTAAAGAAGCTTAATTTCTCTGTATGGAGAGTAAGAATTTTGTATATAGTCCTCAGAAATGAACAATACTGCACTATAACGAAGACCACAGGGTGCTGTCACTTTTTTATGTTTTGTAGAATAAAAGCACAGAACATTTACTATGATTTCAAACAACTTGATGCAAGATAGAATATATTCAAAATGTATTTCATTATGTAGCATATAACAGAGCAAGCTATACGAGTTTGCCAACAATACAGAAAAAGTGGTCTCTTTTATTTGGCAAACCCGTTTTTTTCCTTTAAAACAAATTAAAGTTTCTCTAGTTCAATAAACTGAATATATTTGAATTGTTAAACCTTGTCCATGCTGTATTATAAGAAGTGACCTCAAAAAAAGGAGTTGAGCAAAACCAAATGCTTCTAGGTTGGTATAAACAGACCAACAATAAAATTTAATATTCTAGCATCAATGATATAAATTTAGCAGCAACACAAAGAGAGCCTGCAGGAGGTCTTGTTAAGAAAATACAGCTTTAAGCTTCATAAAAATGTTTAATTTTCTACACTTTATCAACATAAAAATTAAATAAAAATAATTAAAGAGATTATTTTGCATAAGGAGAAATGGGGTTACTCACATTATCAGAGCATGGTGTGTCTGAATGAAAGTCAAGGGCATTTAACTGACTGACAGACTCATAGAGATGGAGTAATTTCAGTTTATTGGCACAGAACTGGAGCAATCCTTCGTCGACAGACTCAAGCTCTAAAAGGTAGAAGAAAAAATACATTAAAGAGACATAGTTGCCAGACTCAGAGAAAGGCTTTTCTTCCTTTAAATTTCTTAATATTACATTAATTCCACGACATTCTCTTTTATTAAATGCTGGGATGCTTAAGCTATAGCAGATTAATAAGGTAAAGATAATTTTTCCATCATGGCAAGATATCTAAATTTTTAAATGAAATAAGGTGCTCTAAAAGTAGGGGTGGGAAAAAAAGGGGAAAAAAAGAAAGAAAAAAGAAGAAATATCTTAGTTTAATACTCAAATTTAAGTAAATGATGTGGAAACAGCTTTGAGAATGTCCTCCCTCCCCCCGTAACTCATATGCTGCCTGTCAGGTTCACTCACAAAGACAGACAAACCACAAAGCTGCCCAGCTCTTCCCGCTCTCGCGCTGGTCAAAGCTCTTATGATTCAACCGAAAACTGTGAGTTGTGACACATGTGTCCTCAAGAAAGGGTGGCAAAGGGACCTAAAGCAGAATTCCACTTACCCTCCTCTATCAATCAGGTTTTTTTCAAGACAAATGCTGGAAAATACTTTCTATATAATAGGTTCCTGTATGGTAATTTAAACATTTATATCTAACATAAAACGAATACTTATTCTTTAAAAAATCAGACCCTGAAAACAACCCCCAAGAACTCATTTCGGATACAGTAATCCAAAATATTGTCTAAGTTGGAATAGCCGTAATAAAACTTAGCATACTGAACACTTGAAAGTTTTAGGAATCTCATTTATGGGCAGAACTAGTGATGATTTTATGGAACTCCAAGAATGGTGTTGGTTTACTCCCAGCCCAGTGCAGGATAATTTTTAATAGATTTTGATATTTTGTTAGATTCTTGCAGGAAGGGAGGGAGGCTTTATAAGTGTAGTATACTTTTTAAAGGAGTATTTCTAACAAGTTCTGTGCACTAAAGAAGTTCATTGTTTACCAAATGTCAGCTATACATGTGTTGAAAAAAGAATCTCAAAATTAGGATTAAAGTCTTGAAAAGGCATATTATGATTTGTTAATTAAGCCACTTTAAGTTGGCTTAAATATAAATATAATTAAATATAAAGCTGGCTTTATATGATTAACATGACAAGCAAAAACTCATGACTAGATAAGTCAGTATCCTCCACACTACAACTCAACTGATGCTAGGAAATCAGAATAAACTGAATTTTGCTGGCTCAGCTGGAGAGACTACGGAGTTACGACCCCACAGTTCCACATGTAATTCTTGTTCAGACAAATTCTGAATGGTAAAAAACCAACCAGAAAACTCAGAACTCATCATTTAATCGCAGCCTGTGATTGTGGAAGTCCTGACTCCGTCGACTGGATTCCACACACGAACACAACACGTCGAACCACGAATCATAAACGTGCGTCACTACCTCGGTCGAAACGACATTACTTAAAGAATGCCCCGCTACGAAAATCTCCCTTCTCCCATGAAGTTACACAAAAAATGACACAGCAAGAAAACCTGGCTGTTTTGCTAACTTTCCCTTCATGCCAGCGGCTTTGACTGTTCTCTATCAGAATAATTACTTCTCATCGTTCCACGCTGGTATCTTTCTTCACAAAAGAAAAATATCTGTGGTAAGAAACAGAGTCGACATACTCAGAGAAAGCTCAGATGAAGAGCTATCCCCAAATACTGAAGATATGAAATGTTTCCATTTATCCCACACATGTAATTGCCACACTAACGTGGCATGATGGTGTCACAGGCGGAGAACAGCTTTCGCCAATCAGAGTCATAAAATCTGAAGTGAGGCCATAACCGCCAATCAGTACGAACCCATTACCTTGATTTTTTAAAGCGTCCAGCAGAGTCTGAGTGATGTTCCTAAGGCAGGAAAACGGTAAACGGTCACACGCCAAAACGCTTTCCAAAGCCTACAAGGGAGAGATGGAGCGATTCTAGCAATCAGAAGGCAATGCTTTTGTTCTTCAAATTCGACATTCGTGCCTACACTCTCACGACCCCAAGCTTCGAGGGAAGCTCCATTTTTAATGTGTTTTAGTATAAATACCTGAGAATTAAAGTTGCATAAGTAATACGTAACCAGTTTCTTGTGCCAAATAAGGTATAACGACAAAAAGTCCAGAGAATGAAACACCAGAAGGCAACAGACATTTGACAGAATGGCAGGAACAGAACGGAAACGGAGATAGAGCTATTTCTCGACAGGAATAAGTCCAGAGTACATAAGTACAAAGGAAGAAGCAGAGGCTGTTATTGTCATGTCAACAATAAAAGCCGACAACGAGCGTGGAGGCTACAGACCATGCTAGATATATATACGCCCCACACCTCACCCCACCTCACCCCACCTGCCCCTTCCTTCCCCCTGGGAGAAATTTAAGGGACTTCACCACCAATTCCAAATTATTTCTTCATGCCTAATGAAGCACCCATCAGAATCACCATTGGGTTAGACATAGCAGGCAGTTAACTTAGCATATTAAATTGGATTTTTACTGATGAAATCAAACAGTTTACAAGGTAGGCAGAGAACAGGGCACGAGACAAATAAATACCAGATGGAAACACAAGAACCTCTGTGTGTCTGTGGGAGAGAAATGGCCTTAGAGGGTGGCTCAGGAGGCGGGCCAGGGCCAAGATGACACTACTATCCGGAGGATATAAAGAAAGTGACCGAAAGAGGCGAATACCCAGGAAAACGTAACCTGCCTCTGTTCTGTCTATTACACAAGCCAGCAGCTGGCTTATTCATTCTGAAGTCAAAACCGATTTCTTTTCTTTCGTGTCGAAAACAATACACGACCTTCACTACTGGGGTTTCCAGCATTTGAAAGAAGATTTACAGCTTCACACACAGTTCAGTAGTGTGAAGGGAAGAAGAGTTTGCACCACGACGGTTTCCCAAATCGTGCCGTGACGGAAAAAAGGAAGATGATGTCAAATGAGAACTGTGTGAGGCACATTCTCCCTTTACACTACAGACTCCTTAGATGCCTATCCGAATGCCACCTGGTCCGAAGTCTCCTTAATTACTGAGACTTTGCCCTAAAGAAAATGAGAGCCAATCGGCTGTCCATGGAAAGGAAAACTTGACTTAAAGTCAGACTTGCCTGCTCTACGATGGGACAATAAAAAGCATTTTTTAAAAAACCACCATAATAGTAAAATAAGAGAGACAAAAAGAAATCGGGATGCACGGAACGCTGCCATGTCTCCAGCATTAGATGTGGTGGATCATGGAAAGGACATATTTGCCAAGGTCCCTACGCGAAGGAGCTTCAAGGGAGGAGGAGGAAAAAGCCGGGAGCTCCGTATGACCACGTCCACGGAAGAGCTCGAAACGAGGACGTCGCCAGCTTCCGGTTGGGATGAGAGGGGCGGGGAGTGCAGAGGCCGCCCGGGGACCGCAGCCCTGAAAGACTGCACGGTTACAACGTGCGCGGACGCCAGGCCACTGGGTGGGAAGATCGGGAATCGAAGGCACCGCCAGACAGCGTGTGCAGTCGCAGGCCTGGCGAAACAGACCCAGGTGACGGCACGTGGCGCATTGAGGCTGGGGGTAACAGGGCTGTCACACAGCACAAGTGCGAGCCCACGTTCGCACGGCCATTCCGAGAAGTGACGTCACTAGCGCATCTGAAGGAGCTCAGAGCCTGGCAACTCCCCTCCCAGGCATAAAAGCAAAAGCAACTTTTTTTAAAGACAATTTTTATGAGTTTATTTGAGCCCGACTGATGACACGTGCTGGGGCGCGAGATCACAAATGCGCCTGGGAAACCCCTGCGTGGGGGCGGGGTGGGGGGGGCCGGAAACGTGTAGAAAGATAACGGTGGCCTCACCGTTTACAGCAGCCAGAAACTGGCCACCGCGTGAACGCCCCCTGACGGCAGAGCCGGTGAACTGCAGCCGTGGGGTGGGAGCCACACGCAGGCCACGAGGCTCCCCCAGCCGCCGCACCCACATAGGCGACTCTCCGAAACGTCACGCCGAAGGGCTGAAGTCGCGGGAGACACGGGGAGGGCTCCATTTACACGAACTTTCGAAAGGCAGACGATGCGGTGACATGTTTTAAAGGAGCCGTATAGAAATGCTAAAACTCTCAAGAAAAGCGACAGCGAGAAGAACGCAAAATTCTGACCACCGGCGCCCCGCCTGCAGTGGGGACGGATGCGGTTGAGGAGGGACACGCGGGGCTCTGCGGGGCTCCCGGCAACATCTGTTCCTAAGGCGGGTGGGCGTCCACGAGTCTAGTTTTATTCTTTGATCAGAACCCGCGTTATGTATGTGTGCGCACATATAAATCACAGGCACTTGTGCGTACGGTAAAAGTAATCAAAAAAAAGGAGAAAAGCGCCAACAGGAACGTCCATGTGGGAACATAAAAGGATGAGCATGAAGAAAAGCATGAAAAGAAGACCTCGGCCTGTCATGTCTGGAGGGAAAATCAAAGATTCTCTTAAGAGGGACATGTGACAGCTACTCGGCAGGGAAGTTCACATACGAAATACACTTACTTGTTTTTTGGTTGCAGGGTACTTAATATCAAGAATTAATTCCTTTATTTCTGTTTCAACCAAATCTAGAAAGAGAAAATTAACCAAAGTGAATTTTTCACTATTACAGGGAAACTTTCTTCTGAAAGAAAAATGCATATTGTACTATCGGTCAAGTTTAAAGGATTTCTGGGTCCTTGCAGATGGTAACACAAGAACCTCGGTGTGTTTGTGGGACAGAAATGGCCTTAGAGGACGGCTCAGGAGGCTGGCCAGGCCCAAGAGGACCCTACTACCCGGAGGATATAGAGAAAGTTCACTGTTTAAACACAAGTGAACGTCTCCAGAGGGCACACTCAGCCTGACTCCAGGGGGACCTGACCCCACGGGGCACGCTCGGCCTGACTCCGGGGGGCCTGACCCCAGGGGCCACGCTCGGCCTGACTCCGGGGGACCTGACCCCAGGGGGCACGCTCAGCCTGACTCCGGGGGGCCTGACCCCAGGGGGCACGCTCGGCCTGACAGGGCAGTTGTACTAAGCAGCACACGGATCCCTTGCCCCTCACCTCATTCTGGAAAGGGGCTGCTGCAGCTCATCGGTGCGTGGAGCGCTCCGACTGCTCTGTTCACAATATTCTATTAATTTAAAAAACGACATGACAGTGCGCTTTATCATTGTGTTAAAGGACACCTACCCAGAGCGGGGGGTTTCGCCTTCAGCAAGGCTGCCAGCTTCTTCACGAGGTGCATGTCCTTGGCTCGTTCACTCTTCTTATCACTGAAACAAGACGACGCATTCTTACGGGCTGTGAAACGGTTTTCCTTCTGACTCTGACACTCCAATTTTTTCTTATCCTTTATACTCTTCCTACCTAACTTTAAAGATATCGGTCTAATGAGAAAAAAGAAAAACCCGAGAAAACAACTACAAAACGAATCGCTAAATAAGGGACAGGAGAGGTCGGCAGGGTGATGGCAGCGGCAGACGCTCGCAGAGCTCACCTCAGTGCTAAGTGGAAGGGGACAGTCACTGTTTTCACGCTTCCGGACACGGGGTCGACGAGGCAGATCTGGTAAGTCTGTGGCTGCCAGCTCTGACTGGTGACGTTATTTAAGCCCATTATTTTATAGCCAGGATACAGAAGCCTGAGGAAATCACATACCAACATTGGAAAACACTGGAGCAGGAAGAAATGCCAGAAGGTGCTTTCGTGACTCTGAGTGACCTCCAATTCGGGAGCGGCGGCAAGGGGAATGAACAGACTGCTCCCCGAATCAGAAGCAGAGGACTCACTGGCAGAGCAGTACTTTGTTAAAATGTGCTAGAAAATCCATGAACATGGGCCTATTTTGCGACGACGCACAAAGCGTCCCCCTCACTTAACATCGTCACCCAGGGATCTGAAAGACCCTTCCACGGTGTAAGGGCTGGGGACACACGGCAGCCCCAAGGCTAACTGCCACTCAGGAGCATACCGTGGACTTTCCAGTGAGAGCTGTTAGTAAATAATTATACACCAGGCACTCGCAAGAAAAACCACGATGAGAGGCATTTCGGGTCTCAGGCGACTTGCAACTGAGGAGCCGGTCTAACGAAAGCTCTCCTCGTATAAAGCGTTCCTTCCACGTCAAACGCCAGCGGCCGCTCACCTGCAGTGCTTGCCCACGTTGAAGGCCGCCACCCTGGGCCCCTGCTGCGCGCCCCACACTTCCAGGATCCCCCTCCTTGGAGCGTAGATCACGAGGAACTGAGCTACTCGACCGGGGCCCTGCGCACCCCCGAAGCGGGAGGGGTCCCCCCTCTCTGGCACCCTTTCGTGGAGGTCCTCTACGACCTGGGTCCAGCCAGTCTGTGCGTCCCGGTACCCTTGGGGACAGAGGAAAAGGGCGCTGATGAGTGAGTTAACCTGAGTTCCACGGGGGCTTTCTGAAGCACTCTGGGATAGTTTTGGGGGGAGAGGGGATTTAAGAAAAGTTGTAAAACTACGTTATTTTTAAATTATGAAATATCTTAGACAGAAAATAATAATTATAATAAAGATGAAATCAATCGTGAAGTCTTATTAAGTCTTAATATTCTGCTCTATTTGCTTCAGACGACTTTTTACTTTAAAAAGAGAATGGGTGTCACTGAAGCCTCCGCGTACCTCCCCTCCCTGACCCCTTCCTTGCCCTCCTCTTAAAATACTCTCCCCCTTTAAAACATTCTGGGAAGGTGATCAGGTTTGGATTGAAAATAAAAATCCAATGAAAATACAAGAAAAAGCTGAAACTGATTTCCTGCTATTCGAGCCCCTTGGCGGTCGGCAAACGGAGAGAAAATGGGCTGAGAATGACGTGAGGAGGTGCCGCTGGCACCATCTTCCACTCTGGGGGGGTCCTTCCCATGGGGGGGGCCCCTCCCACAGGCGACAGATGCCTCTCTTCCCAGCACCTGCCGCTGAAAGGTAAGTAAGCAACATGCCATCAGCGAGCCCGCCGGCCCGCACGCGGCCCGCTCGGCACAGCTGTCTGTGTTCTGTTAGGCTCTTGCTGGGAACACCTCCCTGACGCATTTCGGAAGATAAACACCAACGAGAAATGACGTAAATGCAGCACTGAAGCCGACTCCCGCAGACACGCACACACGCGGCAGGTGGACGCTGCAGGGAGAGAGTGGACTCGAGCTGGTCCACAGCAATTTAACGTCCTCGAATCCATCATTCCTCACGTTGTTAAGCACAGACCTCCAACCACTGGTCTGTGCTGCCATGTTACTATTCCAGACAATTCCAAAAGATGCATTCTCCACTTCCTCCTCAGACAAGATTTTATTCTGTTTGGGCTGACAATGTGCCCACATATCTTCAAGTCTTCCTCGTAGTTAGGTATGACCATGTGACTAAGTCCTGGCTAATATACTATAAAAAAAGGCTGCAGGGACTTCAGAGAATATCTTGAAAGTAGACTGACTCGGTTGGCAGTTCTTCCTTTCCCCTTCCTTCTTCCTGGAATGCAGATACGAAGGCCGGAGCTCCAGCAACCATTTGCACCATGCGATAACCTTGAGTGGGGAAGCTGCGTGGAAGGAGACTGGGTTCTGAGGGTACCGCGGTGATTTCATATCAGTCCTCTACTTGGGTCTGTTACTAGCAGCCAACTGCAAGTCCACACTGAGATGGATTCTGCTAGGTTTTGCTATTTCAATCCGAATGACTTGGCATTCTCGATTTGGGGAGGAATCTGACTCAAGCCTGGCCTTGGGAAGCGGAATGGATGCAGCAGGGGCAAGAAAGTGAGTCCGGGAATCGACAATGAATGAGAACTGGCAGGAAGTACATAAAAAGGAGGTTACGAGTGCCTATGAGTTGATCAAACTTAAAGGATTTATCAATTGGACCAATGGACCAAGTGCTGCCGATCTGAGGTCACGTTAAAAAAGAATAAACATAAAGGATTAAACAGTATTCGCAACCAGAAGCTAAAGCGATGATCATGTTGCTCAACCACTGGGGTAAAAAGTAAATGAACTTTACTTCTGGATTTCTGTAAGGACATACATACCTTTCCACATGCGTATTGCAATTCCTCTAGCTACGTCCAATAAAATAACTCTGCCAAAGTCATCTGTTACTGCTGCCAGCGTGTTACATGGAGACAGACATATGCTTTCGCCGTGGCGTCTAGAATCTGGAAGTCCAAATCTGATATTTAAAAGAAAAGAAGAAGCTCGGATCACATTCCAATCTAGAAATATGTTCTGAAACGCATTAACAAAATAGGCTGAATCTGGTTTTATATAAAGAAACATGAACCTCACGTGGACTAATAGTTAACTTATTAACTATTCGCATCTGACATGTTGTACTATAAAATACATTCCTTCCATTATAAAATCAAAACAACTGTGTTTCGTTCATAGGTTTTTGACGCAGATGTCCACCGCCTTATATTTGGAGAGGACATCAAGTACGTTCCGTCCTTCCTTGATTCAGTGGCGTGTCACAGGAAAGAACTCTCAGAGCCAAAGAACGCTGTGCTGCCCCCACCCCCGACCCAGGCATCTTCTGTCGACTTTTAATTCTTAGTCCTCATCTGTTCTTTTTCCCTAGATTTCGTATCTTGTTGACACCAATATATCAGCTCGAAGCAAGAACTTTTCTTCTTCTAATTATCTCTAAACTGCTCTTGGTCAATGATCAATCTTAGACCTGCGAGTAGGAGAGAGCTCGAGGCAGCGCCAGAGCTCACTCTGACCAGCGCCCGAGGCAGCTCGACCTCGTGGCACCTCCGCGGGGCGCACGGGCCCGTGCGGCTTATTCCTAGATTCTTGGGTGAATTCAGTACGTGTGACATGTGAAAATATTTTTAAATAAGGTGAAAAAACCCTAAAAGATAGACTTCAATAAAATTTAGTAACGTAATTATGTTTCTTTAGGTGAAGAACATCTAAACAAGGGATATTTCTATTCCTTTTGTGGTGGGACTTTATACAACTAGGGGGCAAAACGCATGCCCTGTGCCCCCCAGATCTGACAAATCACACCAAACATCCTCCGGCACCACAGAAGCAAGGGAGCACACTGCAGCATTCTGAAGAGCGCCTGAACGCGTGTAACTCCCATTTTTAATTTTTTTTAAAAGAAACCACTAAGTATTTTTTAAGTTTATCGGCTTATTGACGACTCTCTAAATGTTTAAAAAAGAAATTCATCAGCTGTCACCAAATTAACTGTCCTGCAACGTAAGCTAAGTTTATAGGTGTTTAAAAAAAACAAACGCACTCACAAATACATAGTGAGCACCTGTGATCTGACGGGGAGACAGCAGTGACTAAAACGGGCAAGGACCACCGTCCTCACAAAACTGACACTCTCCTGGGAAAACTCATCCCATACTGATGACTTCTCAGAGGCTCCCAGGACTCATGAGGTTAACAAGTGAACTCAACACACGGAAAGGCCTTAACGTGAACAGCACTGAGAATTTCTAAGAACACTGCCCTGTGAGCGGAGCACGGCGGACTTGCCTTACAGCTAACGGGGTGGCGGGCTCCAGCTTCGGCTTCTGCTTCTGCACCGTCTCCTCCTCGTGCTTACTCTTCCAGCCCAGCCAGCCACTGCGGAGAAAGAACGCTCGGAATCAAACCGGGGCCTCCAGAGCTTCCCAGTGCATTCTATCAAATGATAAGTTAACGCGAAGCCAGATACAAATGCGATGCTTTTTAGACGGAACTGTCACACGATTACCTGGCAGCGTTAAATAGAGCGGAAGTGAGTTTGCTGGCAACAGCTAGTGCGACGTGAGACAGCAGCGGCTGTGTGCTTCCCTGGAAAACAGAACGTTTGAGGGAGGAAACGCAACAGCTGGCAAACGAAATTGACGACGTCTGAGAAGCTGCACAGCCTGGACCAAGAATATGCAGCTTCTTTCAGGAGGTGAGGCAAAAACCTTATTTTAGGAAGAAGCGATACCATCGAAAAGTTTTACTCTATAGTTTAAAAGGAAAAAACACTAGTGTCTGGACCTTAGGATTTTCTCCTTTAAATTGTCATTTAATTAAGGAAACTTGAAGACATTCAGATGGCATCGCCATAGCAGGGCTGTAAGTTTCCCATCTATACACGACTTGCTCCTTTTTAAAAATATGTATTTTTATTAAAGTGAAAAGATAAGTTTGGTCGATTTTGAGAAGGCTGCCTTTTTAAGCGAGAAATAAGAACTGCCAAACCTAACGCCTAACTCTCCCCTATTTTAAGAAGCAATTTTTACTACTGTGTCAAAGACAGTCGGCGGCTCCACCGTCCTTACCATCCCCGGTGACTCCCGTCACCGACCCTGGGCTTCTGATGACCGCGCCAGTATTTAAAGGCAACTTAACCACTCGGGGCATCAGAGACAAAGTTTGTTTGTTTTACATTAACTTTAGTACCTTTTCAGTCAATCTAAAGGATTGAGAAGTGAGTTGGAGTTCATTTTAGCTTAAACTGAAACTTAGAAACAGAAACTGCCTAATCACGTGCATTTTGTAGACAAGTGGAAGATCAACCTGTGGCCTTCTTCATGATCAGAGATGAAGCTCTTACCTCTAACGCATAGAAGAAGCCAGTAAACGGATTGGACCCCACAGTGATGTACTGAGACATGGCAGGTGGGCTGTTTTTAATTGCTGCATTGAAGCCGCCTATGTTGGAGGCAGTCTTCATTTGATCAAAAGGGGACAGCGTCATAATACCTAACGATAAAGCAATAATACCACGTGATTCGAATGCACTGAAATGACGTCGTCACTGAAAGTCATTAAATGTTTACTTCAATTCCATTTTGCCTAATTTTATTTATCAGACAAAAGTCATTTTTAAAAGCCACAAAATCAGTGTCATAACGTATTCATAAGATACTACATCCTCAGCCAGGAGGCGCTTCCTCACCTCTTCACAGAGCTGACTCCTTCTTGCCCGTCATGTCTCGGTCTGAGTGTCACCTCCCTGCAGAGGCCGGTCCTCACCCGTCTCCCTGAGGGACCCTCTTCCTGTACTCGCTGTCATAACTCTGCCGATTTTCTTCGTGACGCGCACTAACGTTTTGCTATCACTGTACTTATTCATTTGGGTTAACTGTTTATTGTCTGTCTTCTCCTCGCTGGAATGCAAGCTTCATCAGGGCGGGGGTCTGGTCTGCCTCATATGTCTAGCACCAACGCTGGCTTCTGGGACGTAATAGGTACTCACTCATTTATTTGTTGATTGAACTATTGAGACCTTTACATAAAGTTCATTCACTTTTTTTTTCCCCCATTTTGTAGGCTGGGAGATAAATGAATAGAGTAATGTTTTCTATCCAATTATTTTCCCTAGCCTGTTTCAATGTTCCAAAGTTTAATTGACAGGACAGGGAAGCTACCCTGAACTGGACTCAACACTTTGGATTTTTGTAGCGTTATGACATTAGCAAAAGATGTCAAGAGAAAGCGGACGTCTGCCAGTAAGGTGTTCATTAGCGAATATTCCACTTAGTACCATGCAATGGAAACAGACGGCCTGCGTGTCACGCATCTTCTGTCTGGCCCTTAGATGCACGGGCCCGCCCTTCCTCCCCGCTCGCCCCCAGAGCCAGTGTGTGCAGACTGTGCGGACCTCCGGCTGGGCTCAGACAATGCGAAGCCCCGTCAGGAGATCCGAGAGAGGAGAATCAAGTCAGGATATCCGGGTCCCTCTGACCACTGAACAAAAGCCCATCCCCCAGCAAGGGCCAAATGTATCTCAGATCTGTCCACCTCTCTCCAACTCCACTGCTCCTCCCGAGACCACGCTGCCGCTGATTCCGCTCCTCAGCTTCAGGTTCTGGAACTCTGTCTGCCCTCGCCCTTGAGGCCCAGGAGGTTGACAGCTGGGCTGTGACGAGCCCAGAGATACTACACTAAGCCTTCCGGTTCTCCAGCCCCACATCCTTCGAAAGCTTCTCTGCAAATAAAACCTTTTCGATTACCCTGTTTCGAGGATGCCATCTACCCTCTTTGGGATAAAATGTGTACGTGTCAAAATTGATGCGAAAGTCCCTTCTGAACACGCTGATTAGAGAAGGGCTACAGTCATTGGTATGACATGGTATTTGTGAAAACCTCTCTCCACACGCTCATACCGTACTATGCACGCACTTACGTACATCAGCGAGGACATTTACCAGAATGCCAATGCTGAGATCTCTAGATAGTGGGATTTAGGGGGATATTTATTTCCTTTTCTCTTTACTATTTACATACTATTTGAATTTTTTAAGTGTACACTACGTTGATAAACAGAAAAACTCACACGTATTTTAAAATAGCATTTCCTCCTTCTCCGCCCGCATGTCTGCGAGCTTAATTCAGAAGCTCATGACCGCTTACCAAGAGCACTGCAGCTTCCTTACACACTCAGTCCTGACCCCTACCCTGCAGCCTCTAAACTTCCATCAAAGTGAGTTTTCTAACAGGCTCAGTGATAACAGTCTCTTTGCTCAGAGTCCTTCCACGGTTCTCGCGTGGCCAGGAGGAAGACCTAAAGTCTCCGCACAGTACACTAGGCCCTTCGCTGTCCGACCTCCATCTGCACACGTGGCCCTGCTCCTGCCAGTTCTCCTTGGCGTCCACTGTCTTCCCAGCATGCAAGGCGTCCCCACCCTCACGCCTATGTGGCCAGAAGCCTCCTGTGCTTGGTCTCTCAGCCCCTTCACTCTCAGATCAAAGCCTCAGGGTGAGGGGCTCCATGGCCCCACTCCGGCTGGCCCACTTGCCCACAACAACCGTGCTGTGGCACCGTAACTGTCTTCCCATGTCGCCTCCAACGAGACTCATGCTTTCTTGTAGTCTCCGTATGACACCTAACACGGTGAGCCCCGAAACACTGGTGACAAGGAGACATCTGCTTTCATCCCTATTCTGCTGGTTGAAAGGTCACATGTTTAACATACTAATCCATATGGTAATGACACGAATTAAACCTATCTGCAGAAAAAAGTCAAACAGTGAGTGACTTAACCTGTACAGTATCGCTGCTGAGGACGTAGTTATGAAAACTGCTACCATTTCTCAAAGACATAAAGCTGTGATCATCGGTAAGTCTGAACTGCCAAGTGTCTCACTTAAGGCGATGCATTTTCTTTACACATGAGAATAAATCTACATTCCTAATCAATGAAATACGTCAGTCAAAAAGTATAAGAAGTAAATTCCAAAAGAATCAAACTAGTAACACTTACCAATACTAGCGTGATCAATAATAGTATCGATATCTTGTAGACCCCATTTCTTATAAGCTAACGGTGGTGGCTGGATGTTCTCATTGCCTGATGCTGCAGCTGTTGAAGAAAAATGAGATAAACCAATCTTAACTCTAATGGATAAAATGAAGTTTGAGAAAATATCACAAAAAATCCAATAACTTGATTTATAAAGCAATGTAAACAAGGCATAAAGTGAGATTCGTCCACATTAAGAGAATACAATAAAACGCAAACGTGAAAAAGAGTAAGTCGGCTGTCATGAGAGATTCTGGAACACTCCAGTAATTAGAGGAGACGACTGAAAGTTCTAGACCATGACTAAAAATCGAGGTGAATTCAACTGCAACTGAAACCAAGGAAGCAATTTCTACCCCTCGAGAAAGACAGTGGATCAAACCCTGGGGACAACAACCAGGGCGCTTCTCAGTAAAAACTAAAATCCCGATGACGTGCTGGCAAGAGCGCGTGGACAGCAGGTCACCGCGGCAAGTGACCAAGGCCAAGCTTGAGAGAAAGGCATGTGACCAGCAACGGCACCGCCAGAAAAAGTTAATGAAATGAGATCATCAACCTCAGCATTTCCCCCTAGTGAGTGAGTAACAAAAGGAAAAGCAAGGTCCACTTATCAGGAAGTTCTCATGCTACAAACCAGAGCACAGCTGGATTCTGGCTGTTTATTCTGGAAAGTGAAGACAAGTACTAATCCTCTAAGCACTTCTGATTTGATAGTAAAGCCAAGAGGAGAGAATTTTCCTATATTGTGAAATAAAAGTCACATCAATTTGTGGCTAAGTAATCAGATTCTTTTTACGGCAACTTGCAAAATAAAGGCACTAAATGGTTTATGTACTTATTTCCTAGAAGACAAATGGCTTTATGGTCTTATACAGAATAAATAGGAATTCAAAAATAGTAAAAATTAAATGGCTGACAATACTAATTATAACATAATAGTCTATTTCCAGTTTATTAACAGGACTTTTACCTACAGAAAATTGCCAGTCTCTCCGGGCATATTTATTTATTAATGGTAACAATCTGAAATGTCCCCGAGGTAGTGAAGTTTATAATGGGCTATATTTAAATAATTTTTAAAATTTTGAAAATAGAGAAATTCAAACAAATCCGACTTAACAAAAAAACATATTCTGTTAGAGAACCACAGAGCCAAGACTTCATAATTTTACCCATCACATCGATCTGCTAAAAAGACAGTGAAAAATATTTTCTTGCAATAGAGAGAATCTGCATT